GGGCACTCAAAAACTTAATAATTCATAATAAGCTACTGCAATAAATATAAACCAAGCCTGCCTAGAATAGTTATCAGTAATACTGCTTGGTATTCCAGCAGCCTTTGGGTGTATTGTCTTACTGTTTGCTTATGGAGGTCAGTGCAGCTTTACATCACAGCAATCTTTAATTAAAAACCAAAAAAAAAACCCAGCCCATTGCCAACAGTTTTGCAAGCCTTCATGGTTGATAGGCTGGTGGGGAGTTTCAAATAAATTGCCACAATATCACTTCTGAACATTTAATTCTACAAAATATATATGACCCTTGTTGTTTTTCATACTCTGCACCAGATCTTCCACGGACACATCGTAAACCTCAGTAATATCTTACATTCTTTCCTTATCTCTTTTTCTCAGAATTCTCTGAGACTCGGGCTTGGCTTGGCAGATTTAACCCTTGCATTTGAACAAGGAGCACACACGGAGTTACAAAGGTTCACCAAGTTATCAAAATTCAACCCAATCCAGTAAAAAGTAAACCTAAAGAGAAGTCCCTCCATATGAATGTTATTAGCACGGCCCAAAGTCACGGGCTAACTTAAATCCAGGTTGTGACGGGAGGGAAGCAATGCCATCAGTCTGTGAAGCTTAGTCCTGTCTCTACAAAACCGCCCCATTTCCCCCTGCAGTTGCTCATTATTGATGGACAGCAGCTGAGGAGCGACCCGGCCACTGTGATGGACGAAGTGCAGAAGTTCCTCGGAGTGTCTCCCCATTATAACTACTCCGAAGCTCTCACGTGAGTCTACTCCCTTTCTACCTGCCCCACGGGAGCAGGGGGTACCTCCCCTCCCACCCAGATCCCCGGGTCGTTAGTTAAAACAAACACATGATGACAATGATAATTTTGCAAAGCTTGGGGCTTCTCTTCTGCCTGCCTGCAGGAGCTGAAGCGCAGGCAGTGTCAGCGGGGGCAAGTTCAGCTTACATGTTTTTATCCCATTCTGACAGGAGCCCAGTGGCTTACCAGCTCTCATTCCCTAATCCCATTTTCACGCGTGGCTGAGGCTCCCGCAGGGGTGGGAGTAGGCTGAATGTCCCTCTCCTCTCCTAGTCCAGCAGAAAACAGTAAGGAGCTGCTGCACTGAGCAGACCCCAGGCTTTCCAGCTGCCCCACACTGCTCCCCTCCACCCCACAATTACCGTTCAATGCTATTTATATCACAGGCACAGAGCGAGAGTTCAGCCCTTTAGGAAGAGCTGCTCTGCCAAAACCTTTCTCCAGAGGAAAAAATTTGCATTTCAGAATGCAATTGTTTAAGTCACTGGCTTCCGAAGCCGATGAAAGAGAGGAGGAGTTTGAGTTTGGAGCTGAGCTACTGATGTTTGAACAACTGCTGCTGCACATCTGCAGTGCCTTCTGCTAGGGTTTTAAAGTACACACCCACAGACATATATCTTCCTTTCTGGAACTAAATTAAAGGCAGTGGAGTCACACAGCAAGGAAAAATTTGGCCTCTCCTACTGGTTTGGACAGGAAAAATGGATTGTAAACAGATCTATAAAATTATGCACTCACTGTTTGGAGTCATCAAGAATGCAAATGCGCTGTGGGAGCACGCACGGGTTTGGGATGGGAGAGAAAAATGCGTTAAACTACAGAGTTGTTTTATGGCGGGACTTGTCAAAGTGAAAAAGATTGCACAGGATTGTTCCTAGTCATTACTGCCTAACAAGTGCACACCACACATCTTTAAAGTTGTCAGGAAGCAGCCTGAGGACCCAGTTCTGCAACACCAGTGAGCAACAAGTCCATCACCCTGAGTAATGAGGTGAAAGTCTCAGAGGAGGGTGAAACCAACCCAGGCAAACGGGAAGGTGCCAACCAGAGCCGTGGAAGGAGAGCAGGGGGCACACAGGGGCAGGGCTGGAGGAAAATACAGGATTAGGGGAGTGTATTTAAGGAAATATTCTCTCTTGGTGTGCTGCTACATTTAGTCCGACTGAGAGGAAGCTCCTCATCATGGCATTGCTCACCTCTGCACCCGCCCATCCCCAAATCCTGCCTGTCCCACGGGCTTACTCTGCAGGAAGAGAAGGTAACCAGGCCTGGGAAGGTTTCTGCTGACTGCCTTAAAAAGCTCCCTTGTAACTTAAACCTCGGGGCTATCACTATTTTTAAATAAACGCTTCCACTGTGCCCAAATACATTTACAGAAGACCCGGGAGTTTTGTGAGACCCGAACACGGTGGGCTGAATTCAGCCTGAGCTGTCTTGCCCTCTTTTCCCCCACCCAAATTTGCACATCCTCTTCATAATGTTCAGTATGCCTCTTCTGAGGCAGAAATACTGTTTGGGGCGTAGTTTTGCAGTTTCCCTTTTACCCAGCACACCACACTGTATTGCTGCTCCTCTTGGGAAATTAGTGCAAGGCAGCAAAGCACTTCACCAGCAACAAGCAGATGGGAAAGGCCACAGCAGAAACGAATCCATCATCAATACATCCATTTAATCAATGATTTATTTGTTTTTAATTGATGCAGCTAGTGAGACAAATTTAGGAAACAAAGGTCAGGCCTGCAGTAATAGGCTAGGAAAGAAAAAACCCCTGAAATTAGTTCACTTCTGCACGGCGGCGAACGGCAGGTGCGCCCGTGTCGCACAGACAGAGCCAGGGCAAAAAGGTGCTCTGTAACTAATTAACTCCGTGTGCCAGCCAATTATACTCCATGCTCCTCAAACATCTGCTGAATAGCAGGAATGCACAGCATTTCAGTGCTTTCTGCAGTGCTGCAAGTCCCACAGCGGTGAATTCCAAACTTAACGCGCCACGTGCCGCTCATTCCTTAGTGGGTGTGTGTTTCAGAGCCCTAATCTAAAATTCCTCTATCTCTGGCTTTCAGACATCACAATCGAGTTGTGTGCTTCAGATAAGGCTGCTGAGACAGTGTTTATGCTCGATGCCATCTTTGGAATGAAAATGATACTTAGATCTAGCGATAGGGAACAGCAGCTTCTCAGGTGAGGCTGAACACCCAACCAGTAATTCATTCAGGAGACCTGTAGATCAACCCTTCAAACTCGTACCCTGTGTGCTGAGAAGTAGGATAAAAACTACTGCTCAGCGTAGGTAAATCACAGCATGAACAAACTCCCTGCCTTGAGCCACTTCCAAGGCAAATCTGCAGGAAAAAAAAACATGAATCCCCAGAGTTTTCACAGGAGAGGAAAGCTGTTTCCCACTCTGACCTCAGAATTCCACTCATCTAGAGAGAGGTGTGCAGCAATAACTGAAGAAGCTGAGAAATTCTTCTCTGGTGAGAAGAATATTCTAAATATATTCTAAAATATTTAATCCTCTATAGGTTTGACCCTCAGAAAGGCTTCTGGTGCCAGTTATTGGAAGGAGGGAAAACAAAGTGCCTGGGAAAAAGCAAAGGTCGGAAATACCCACCAATGGACCAAGAGGTAAGGGCTTCCCAGAGATTTACAACTTTTAATATAGAGCTTGTGTTTGGCTCCCAAACTAGATACACTGCTGTATTTTTATTTTATTTATTTGCTCTATTTCCACGGGCTTGATGTTTTAAAAAACCAGGAAGAGGCGATGAAGTGCCCCCTGTAAGAGCCCCTCTCTGGGAGCAGTGCAGGGATGCAGGAGCCTGAAATCTTTCCTCCTTTAACCCTTGCTCTGTTTGTTCGTTTGTTTGTTTGTTTTCACCCCCCCCCTCCTCAGTCTCGAGCCTTTCTGTCGAGCTACTACAGAGACCACAACGTGGAGCTGTCCAAGCTGCTGCACAGGCTGGGGCAGCCCCTGCCCTCCTGGCTGCGACAGGAGCTGCAGAAGGTCAGGTAGCACCCGGGGCAACCCCGCCCAGGACCCTTCCCTTCACCGCCAAACCCCTGCTTCTCCGACTCACTCGTGATCGTCAGTACCGGACCTCGTGGACAACGCTCTTCCTAGCAAAAACAAAACAACAAACCGCTGAAGAATGATTAAAAAAAGAAAAAAAAAAAAAATTAACACCCCCCCCTCCCCCGCCCAAGACCCGACAACCGTTCATATGCACGTGCTGACAGTTCGCAGCATCGACCCCTTCCGTCAGCTTCCAGGAAATAACACGGAGCTACGCGGCATCACCCTTTACCCAGGCCGGGATTCGTGCGTAGCCCAGTTCCTCTCTCCACCGGGAAGTACCAGAAACTGTGTGTGGGACAAATTGCAGTCTGTCAGGACGCGAGCCAAGGATGGGAACATCTCTCTCTGGACTCCGAGGTTGGTCATCCGCTGGGCTTTGCCCACATTTTGTTTTCCAACCCTTTTAAACTCCAAGCAGGCCACACAAGCGGTGCCCTGCCAATACTCTGCTATCAGCCATTTGGTCTCTGTCAGGGGAGCGATGTTTATGCCCTGAAGCCTTCAGAGATGGGGTGAGTCATTTAGGGTCCTAGTCTGTAAGCTATCACAGAAAAACAACTTGAATGACCCTTTTTTAAGGGTTTGAACACAAAGTCCAGTCTGTTGAAGCAATATTCTTCCTGTGGGTTGTTAAAGTCAGCAAGTCTGGGCAGAGACTCGCTGGGAAATTTAAGCTGAGGGAGCAAAGACCCTTTAGGCATTTTAGCCTTGTAAAGCTTTTACTCAGGAAAGCAAAACCTGGCAAAAGTTTGCTATATGTCCCTTATGCAGCCCAAAATGCAGCAGGTTTTCACTTTCAAACTTACTCTGTCTTTCTTAGGCACAAATAATTTCAGGTGCTGCAGAGGCCTTACGAGTTCCTCTCCCCATGGATTTGATCCTTACCTCCCAGCTTAGGAGACAGACCTGCTCTTCTATTTTGGCCAGGAGGACCCTTCAAAGTGAGCTAGGGCAAATTAAAGGTCAAATGGAAGGAACTTTGTGTGGGATTTTTGGGCAGAGGAGTCATTTACACACTTTGTACGTACCATACAGATCCAAGCTCCCTTATCTTTTAGCTCTGATAACACCAAAGATCACTTGGTGTGATGGGAGCTTTGAGTAAGGAAGGCTTGCTCAGTGAAGAAGATCTAAATCAAACATTTGGTAGTATTTTAGCTGTTAAAATGCATTAGAATTGGCTCATCATTAATTAACAGAGGACTTCCTAACTTCTTGATTAAAAGCTAAGTAAACATGACATTGGTTCCAGGAGTTTTTCAAGGAAATGAGACCAAGACCATAAAATCTGAAAAAAAAAAAAATCAGTTCTCCTTCTTAGCTTTTCATTTGGAAAGGAAAGAAGCCTGCCTCTCCCAACCCTCAGCTCTGTGATAGCATCATGTCCTTAAAACACACCAGATATTTTTATGCCCCACTGTTACTTTTTTCAGTTTGAATGGACATTCACATTTCCGAGAGATCTCGTGTCCCATTGAAAACTGGCATTTGAATTGACTTCATTATGTGTCGTAAAGATGAAATAGCAGCATTTCAAAGTATCATTCCTTCCACTTGCAATGGGACCCATCAACACAGAATGCCTCTGGACCGGCCTACGACAGAGGAGCCTTTGTGAATCACCTGTAAATGATTTCCATTTCTTTCAGGCCTTTCACATCCCTGACCGCCTAATTGTCGGGATTCTTAAAGACCGGCAAAACAATCCCAATAAAAATGAAACATTTGTTCATTCATGGCGAGGGGGGTTCTAGCTGGGAAAGACAGTGCTGCTCCTTCTTTCCTGTTCACAAGGCACGGGATTCACGTCCTTCACGTGGTGCAGGCTGCAAACCTGTAAGAGTTTTACACACTGCAGGGCTGCAGCTGCAGTTTGCTCCCATTCCCCGGGAAATGTGGATTCCAGGGAGCTTTGCCGCACTGAGGATCTGACCCTACAGGCCAGACACAGGCAGCAGGGGCCATGGCAGCATATTTGGTGATTAAAGCGGGACTTCAGAGCTTGCAAAACCCAACTCCCCTAACTGAGGTCGCCTCTGAGCTCGAAGCAATCAGAACGGAATCCAGACCCTCCTAAATCACGCACTGACCTCTCAAGGTCTAAAATAAAGTCGTGGGATTAACAGCCCATGGATGTTTTCTAATAGAGCAAATTTCCTCTCTGATAGGGGATCAGGCTGCTGAGTGTCCCCCCAGACAAATGAAGACGGTGGAATTATAAACTCTGGGGGGAGGGAATGTCGTGCAGTGAAAGCACTGATGGGTCCAGGCTCTCTGACGTGATAATGAGGCAGCAGGGCCTGCCCTGAATACAAAAGCAGGAGCTGAATGTTTTCTCCTCTTCCCTCTCCTCCTTTCCCTTCCTATTCCTGTTGAAGTCTGAGCCAGTGAAATGGGGGAACATTCAGCCCCTGAATGGTCAGCCAAGAACAAATTGGGTGTGGGGTGTTCATTTCCCCTCAGCTGGGCCACCCTAGAGTGACACATCAAGTCCAAACCAGCCACTTAGTTTCCACCAGTAGTGAATTCTGTTTATAATGAGTTAAAATTGATGCTTACAAAAGGTGTGTGAGCACGTGACAGCCGTGTAAAACAGGTCCAACACAGGTACATAAATCACCAGTGGCCAAGTGTCCAGTTGTATTGTAGTTAAGTAAGATCCATTTGGCTTTTTCTTTTACCTGAGTGTATGTTCATGGGGCAGGAATTTCCACCAGACAACATCTCTCACACTGCCTTTGTTGTCTCTTTTTGTCCTTCCAGTTCATCCTTTTAGCGTGACTGCAAAGGTGTGGACCTGCCTACGGATTCGACTCCTCCATCACTCTCCCTTCCAGAAAAGCTACCAAAAAAAAAATAAGGATTTGCAAGCGACACAGATTCTGCAGTGTTCAGCGCTCCAGTGACTGGATAACTTTTATAAGACTTATTATCATTTCTGTAGTATTTCAAAACAAAGAGACATCGTCTTGACAGAGCTGAAGGAAACACTTCACTGTCTTGCCCAAGCTCTTTTTTTAAAAAATTTTGCTTTCCCCTCCAACGTGACAACAGCAAATTCAGCTGAACGAGTACTTGGTGTTGAAGCAAAAGGCATCAAAATGAATTTTGATCCCTCAAAGTATTTTTGGGGGGGGGGGGGGGGGGGGGGGGGGGGGGGGGGGTGTGGTGGGGGAAGTCAAAGGCTGTATTTGCTGGAATAGTTTTAAATAATTGATGTGCACACACCTGATTATCAGTTCTTCTCACTGCCGCAGAATAAACACTTCTGATGGTGTATTAGAGAGCGCTTTTCTTTAAATCCCCTTCCCTTAAATCCCCTTTCCCCTTTTTCTGAGCCAAAATCTGCTCTTCAAGAACCCCTGCCACGTATTTCAAGTGCTCTGGCTCAGCTCCTCGTGCCTCAGCATCTCCTCAAGGCAACACAGCAATGTGGGATTTACACCAGCACAGGTAGTGCCACTGAACTCCTCCACCTCCTCCTCCACCTCCTCCTCCTCCTCCTCCTCCTCCTCCTTCTCCTTTTCCAGGCAGGCAACACGAATTCAAGGCAAGTCTGACACTTCACCATTTGTTACACTGCACAATGTGCATTTCTGGGCCTGCCTTCCCAAAGTTCTGCCTCCCTGCACCCAGCGGGAGGTGGGGATGCAAAGGCAGCCCCATGCAAGCTCTTGCTCTAATTAACAATAATTAATAATAATTTCTCCCTGCTCTGTTTGAGGAACTTTAAAAGGCCCTGAATTCAGCTGATGCAAATCGCTCAAACCCTGTGCTCAGAGAGATTTTCCTCCCCCCACCCTCCAAAAATCTCTTAATGCTTCTACTTTTTATTATAAAATATTCATTTGCTTTACAGATTTATGTCAGAGTGAGGTTAAATCATATCAGAGTCGAGGATTCTTAGCACAAACCTTACAGAATAGCAAATTACTCCTCTCTAGATCTGTTATCATCACACAAATTATAAGTGACACTGCAGTTATCTGAACACCAGTTCTGGTTTTTATACTTTTTTTAAATTCCAGATCTGTTTAGTGCTTGCAGACAAGGGAGACACGGTAAGTAAAAGAGTCAAAGTATTCTAGGACTTTAAATCTGTTTGTAAAAAGAAGAAAAAATTAAAAACTACTTGTAGGTCCTTAAGCAACTAAAAATTAACCAGCTTTCTATCGTGGCTTTTAAAACCCCTCACAGACATTCACGTCCCTGCTCCTTTGGGCCCCAAGTGCCTTTATAGTGCTAAATGAAGTGATTACTGATAAAAACAACAGAAGAATAAAAAGAAAACAACCAGGTTTGTTTTCCTGTCACTCACAGATCCCTGCCCTTTCTCGGCCACCTCTTGTATCCCCTTCATATTCCCCGGGTGGCGAAGGAAGCCACGTGGAAACTGCAGCTGAACCTGAAAGGTTTTGCCCTAAACCAGAAACCTTTCCAGGCTCAGCTGAGTTTCCTGCCTGAGTTTTATTTAGTAACACGACAGCAGAGTTCTTCCAAAAATTTCCTATTTCTGTAAAATTCATTGAGGTTTGCATTTCCCCTCCTAGCACCAGATTATTCCCTCCCAGAACCTGAAAACCTGAAAGCTCTAAATAAATTTCTGAGCTGATCTGTTTGTGAAAAGGGCTTTTTCCATGTGCAGCTTGTGAGAAGGGAGGGGAGAACCACTTTGTCAGGCATGCAAATATCCAAATTCCAGTTAGAAACTGATTTATAGAGTTGCAGAAATGAATTCTGCATATAATTTACACTCCAGTCTCTGCTCACGAAGAATTAAAGACTTCCCAGGGAAAGCAGACGGGTGTTTGCATTTCGGTCAGCTGCAGCTGCCGGCTGGGGAGAAAAACACTCCAAATACCCAAATAAACCCAGATCCACCACTTGGGGTTGGCAAAGCTGTTTGTCCTGCTGCAGCCAGCTCTAACCAAGCACAGGCCAGTTTTATAGCGCTCCTGTATTTGTTTGGGAATGGGAATGGGATGTGTTAACGCACAGATCTGCTCCCATCGCAGAAGGCCAAGTGGGTCGATGGGCTGGGAGTTGGAATCACCCTGGGTTTTCTGTCAGAGGTTATTTTCTGCCAGGGCAAGGTCAGCAGCGGGTGGAGTGGGATTCCTCCATCTAAGCTGCAATTCCATAAAATGCTAGGGGGGTGGGTTGAAAAATGTGGTTTATAATTGGGGAGATAATTGCCTGCCATTCAAGTGACTTTGTACTCGCTGCTTCTCTAACTCTGCCATCTTGCAGAACTTATCTGTAACACGCATTCCCCGCTGGGTAATTTAACTTCCCTTCAGAGCAGATCCAAGAAAGAGCTGGGTATACAAGGGGACGAGTTTTCACAGAACTTGCTCTGAGGCAGATATTTATTTACAGAGTTTTTCTTTCATTTTTTTGTCCTGTGTGTGTTTCCCTGTGTTTGCCTTTGGCCGGGGAATCATCTCTGTATTAATCTGCACGCCCTCCAAAGGCACACAATTCCCATTAGCATCAGTGACAATTAAATATTCTCGGGAAGGAGGAGAGAATAAACCCACCAACAGAAAATGTTATTTAATGACATTGTAGCTGCAGCACAATCTTCCTGCAGAGCTTTGTGTAATCACGCCGAGTAAGCAAAGAAAAATTGTTCTGCAACGTGGAGCGTTTAAAGTTTCATAAGGATTCTGATTTAAAAAAAAAAAAAAAAAAAAAAAAAAAAAAAAAAAAAAAAAAAAAAAAAAAAAAAAAAAAAAAAAAAA